TGGTGGTGGTGGTGATAATGATGGTGTGTGAGATGAAAAAAAAAGTCAATTTCAATAGAGATGATGGGACTATGTTTGTGCGTGTGTGTACACACACACACACATACACAAATGTGTATGTATGTATGTGTATATATATGTATATATATGTATATGTATATGTATATATATATATATATATATATATATATATATATATATATATATATATATATATATATATATATATATATATATATATATATATATATATATATATATATATATATATATATATATATATAAATACATATACATAAATACATATATATACATATGCATATATATACATACACACATATATACGTATACATATGTATATATATACATACACACACACACACACACACACACACACACACACACACACACACACACATATATATATATATATATATATATATATATATATATATATATATATATACATGAAAAGCATTATAACATTCCATCAGTTCAGAAAAAAGAAGCCTAGAGGCTCTTCTAGACACAAACCCCAATTTTTATTTTCTAAAACACAAGCAATATCCCAAAAAACTGTCGCCCACTTCTAATCACCCGCTTTAATGCGCTTCCATTATCCCTCATTAGCATAAAAGCTCTTGTCTATCACGTCATTACCGGAAAACGTTATAAATAATTCAGTTCCTCTTTCTTCCTCTTTTCTCTCGTTGTGTTTAGATTCTTTAATTTTACTTCTTCTTCCCATTACCTTTTCTACTGGCGAAAATAAGAGAAAGAAGAGAGAAAGAGAGAGGAAGAGAGAAAAAGAGAGAGAGAGAAGAGAGAAGAGAGAGAGAGAGAGAGAGAGAGAGAGAGAGAGAGAGAGAGAGAGAGAGAGAGAGAGAGAGAGAGAGAGAGAGAGAGAGAGAGAAGAGAGAGAAGAGAGAAGAGAGAGAGAGAGAGAGAGAAGAGAGAGAGAGAGAGAGAGAGAGAGAGAGAGAGAGAGAGAGAGAGAGAGAGAGAGAGAGAGAGAGAGAGAGAGAGAGAGAGAGAGAGAGAGAGAGAGAGAGAGAGAGAGAGGGAGAGAGAGAGAGCGGTTGAGGGGGGGACCAAACAGAGAAAAAAACAGAGGAAGAGAAAATACAATCAGACCGAAAGAAGTTACATGTAAAAATAAAAGCCTACCTACAAAGACCATAAAAAAAACATACAAACCTGCCCTAGTAAAAATCGCTACGCTAATCAAGAGGAACACGCGAGGACCAAGAGAGACATGACAGCAAGATTCTCCATTGCCACAGACAAGCTTTCGACTCTTCGCATGGGAATATATTGCGGTTTACTCGACTCAACGGTAATAGAGTTTCGCGTGCTCAATAACTGGATTTCATCTTCAACAACAGCAGACAATGACACACCTGCACCTCTCTACTGACGTTATCATTATTTTATTTATTTGTCTATTTATTTGTGTGCGTACGTGAGTGTATTCGTATGTTTTTTTGTTTTTTTTCAAGAAAATCAAAGATAATGGTTTCCCCTTTCTGTAAGCATAATAATAGTTTCCCTATGAAGAACTCCCCTTCCCCACCGTCTTCAAAACAATCACGTGTGTCCCCTCCCCTACCCCCCCTCCACTACTCCCCTCCCCTACCCCCCCTCCCCAAGCACATACCCCCTTATTAACCTACCTTCCTGTATCCATTCCCTAAACACATACTCCTTCGCTACTGTCTATCCCAAACATCCCCTCCCTTTCCCCATTCCCCCCACCTCCTAAACACCCCTCCCCCCTTTTCATTCTTCCCACCCCAACTCCCCTGTGCCCCTCCCCCAGTCACGGACCCACCTACCTTATTCGCCCACCTCTTTATCACATACCTCCCCTCTCCCCCCCCCACCAAAAAAAAATATGCCCCCTCCACACCCCACTTTCTCTCAGGCCACGATATTTAGCGTCGCCTGGTAGTCCCCCGCTGACGCCCGCACAATGAACCTACAGCCGGCAAGACAGCGCTATCACAACCCCCTTCCCATACAACCCTCTGGAATGAGCTTTGGTCGACATTCCCTTGCTAAGATATGTCAACTTCACACTTATGAAAATCCACCGAAAGGAAATCATTTGGACATTTTTCGTCGCCCGGTACGGATTCTATCTTCGAAAAAGGAAAAGACAAACTCTGCATTGTTCGTTGACTACATGTATTAATTGTAAAAAAAAAAAGAAAAAGCAAGAATACAATGGGTACACTCGTATCCATCGACAAAAAGTGAAGAATTTTAAAGATCGTTAAACACCAGGAGGGAAAACACACATGGCATGAGCCACATAAGGAGGCCAGGCAGATGGCATAACTGAATATCTTCATGGAGATCGGGTCTTGGAAGAATAGAAGGGGAGACGGAAGGGGAAGAGGAAAAAACAAAAAAAGATAAACAAGGGGAAAACAAAAAAGAACAATGAACAAGAGAAAAAGAATGAAAGCATGGAGTAAAACAAAGTAATTATAAAAATAAAAAAAGGAAAGAGAGAGAGAGAGAGAGAGAGAGAGAGAGAGAGAGAGAGAGAGAGAGGAGAGAGAGGAGAGAGAGAGAGAGAGAGAGAGAGAGAGAGAGAGAGAGAGAGAGAGAGAGAGAGAGAGAGAGAGAGAGAGAGAGAGAGAGAATCCCATACCTAGATAACACAGAAAATCATTAAGAAGTCCAGTCACGAATTTCCTCTCACTTTTTTTTTCACTAGAGGACTCCAAAGTTCCGAAGTCGTACTACACCAAGCGAATTCTAAAAACGCAGCCCCCCCCCCCCTAAAAAAAAAACGCGATTTACTTTCAAACAATTATACACTTTCGAATGAATGTAAGATTTCCCTTCGGCCGCTGCAAGGAATCCATCACGTTGCTTTCCCTCGGCCGACGCCACGCGGTGCCAGGCGGGAGGAGACCTGCAGGGTCGCCGCGTGGCACTCTCGCTCTCGTGGCACTCGGCCGTGTCCACCCCACGGAAGAGTGGGCGTGTGGGAGGGAGGGAGGGAGGGTGTGTGGGAGGGAGGGAGGGAGGGAGGGAGGGAGGAGGGAGGGAGGAGGAGGAAGGAAGAAAGGAGAGGGAGAGGAGAGAAGAGAGACAGAGAGACAGAGAGAGAGAGAGAGACAGAGAGAGACTGCCAGAGAGACAGGAAGAGACAGACAGACATAAAGAAAACAAAAAGAAAGAGAAAGAGAAAGGAGGGTCAAAATAACGCCCACAAGAAAAATGCCTCCGTTAACGCTCAATTCCGTCTTGCGCGCGCCCGCACTTTGTACCCACCCATTCTACTTTCTCTACGGGAGGTAAAAGTCTCGCTATTGGCAAAGACAACAAATCACCCGCGTGTTCGTGACCCAAATGACAAATGGAAACAAGCCATTAGCAATTAAACCCAAACAATTGAATCATCTGAATTCCCCAAAAGAGAAGAGAGAACAATTACTTTCTATAAGCTCAGACAAAGAAGAAAAGGAAGGAAACGAAAGCGTATTTTTACTTTGGACAAAGACGAAAAAAGGTAAATTTTATCGATCACAAGCGAAAATGAAATAAAAGTGCAAAATAGTCTTATTTACCCGCATTCTTTTCTTAGTCAAAAGAAATAAAAAAAAAAAAACAATATCTGCATTTTTTTCTTAGCCAAAAAAACAAACAAAAAAAAAACAAACAAACATAAAGCATACACAAAACCAACTCTATTGAACCAAGACAAAATAGACGACTAAAAATAAAAGACAAAAGATGACCTAAAAAGAAATTAAAACCGAGAAAACAACGAATAAAAAGATAAAAGATGACCTACACCCCCCCCCCAAAAAAAAAAAAAAAAAAAAGATAAAGGATGACCCAACAAAGAAATTAAAACCAAATCACCGCAAACACTCCGCTGCCACCCCCTGAAAGCGGCGAGAGGAAGCCACCG